GATCTTAAATTGCCACAGCCTTTTGCTGGAGAATCATGAGCCAGAGTCTCAACCTAAGGCAGAAACTGTGAACTTCAGCTTTTTCCCTCTGGTTGCAACACTGCAAGACATTAAGATACACATTACAAGAGCCAGTCCCAAAACTCAAGTCTATGCTGCAATTAAAGTGGATGTTGCAGTAGAAGCAGTGGATCATCAAGGCATTAGTAGCTAAAAAAGGTCTACTCCAACAGCAGTCACTTGGGACTGAGCCATCAGTCAGAGAATAGGAACATCACAGGCACTGATAACCTCTATATTTGTTGTCACTACTCACCAGTAGGGAGGTCACTCCAGACGATCCTGGACAGAAAGGATGGTGATCAATGAGGACATGTTATATACAGTTTGCAAGAGTAGCTTAGATGGTTTGAGTTCCTGCCTAGTGAAGTCAAGTCCAAATCCCACATACACCTCCCATCCAGCTTCAGCGTCAGCACACCACAGGCACAGACTATGTACATTTTTATGTTAGGGGAGACATGGGATTCAGGAAAGCAATTTACCAGGGCGATGGAGCTCATCTGAGATTTCTCTCCGTGTTGGAAACTGGAGTGCACATTTTGTGGCAGTGAGCAAAATGCTTCCACTCTTACTCCCAAGCAAGAAAATAAACCAAATAACCCAGTATGTGACAGTAGGAAACGAAAGCCTGATAAAAGATCATGAAATTGAGATATAACCAAATGATTCTTCCGAAAGAGAAAGCAGGGTGTTGTTTAGGTACTGCCTGATCCTATGTCAGCATGCTTCTGGTAAGCTGTCTAAAGTAAGCTGAGTTCCTGTGCACGGGGAGAAGACAATGGAATAAGAAGATGCTCAGCATTTGTTGGATCAGGGTTTCCTTACTGGCAGTTCAAGAACATTTCACATATTTTTGTTTTTCAGAACCAGTTTTGATGCTTTTAACACTGAATAACATCTTATTCAAATTCTGTCAGAACTGCCACTGAATAAGTCTTTGCATGGAGAGAATAGTATTAAATCTGAGTAAGCACATCGGACTCTGACCCACAATCACTCATTTTTATTTGCACATAAAGACTGAATGCTTCACATTTGTCCACTTCTTGCTTTTTTTTTTTCCCTAGAAATCTCTGCAGACCAGAGTACATCTGTTTAGCAGGCACAATTCCCAAATTGACACATACTTTTAGTGTCATTCTGTATCCAAAATCTGCGTGCTTCTTTTAAAATTATTTTTGAAGATTCACTGTCATTAAATGTCATCTAAAACTGTCAGATTGCGTTTTGAAAGAGTCTCAGGATGAATGTGTTTCTTGTGCGCGTTTTGAACAACATCTTAAAACCCAGCGTCCAGTCCAAATATACCCATTCTAATGACCAATGTCACTAGAAGGTTATATTTAGAAATGCTTCTAAAATCTGCTTCTTTTCTTTGTTCTTCTAAAGGACAGTGTTCATAATGGGCCTTGAGGTGAGAATCACCCATGGGAAGGCTTTAAACCAAGGGCAGCCAGACACATGGACACCCTATTGGCCTGGCTGACAGTAGCCCTCTTCACCCCACTGGCACACAGTGGTGTCAATGAGTCCCTGGCTGAGCATCTGCATTCTGTCACCCATTGCAGGCCAAAGCTGCTGGATCAAGGCCTTCCTGTCCAGCTCAGTGTCACACAGGGCATTCAGGATGAGATTCTCCACTGCCACTGCTGACCACCACTGTGTCCCAGACATGGGATGCCCCGGCCTCAGGCAGGAGACTACTCGCCATAAGCTCCTACTTTGTGTCCTCGGGCTCCTGCTCATCTAGCAACAGCAGAAAGGGTAGTAGGAATGGCATAGAAGCAGTGCCTGCCAGGAAGCAGGGAGGTACTGATGGTGCTGGGAGGCAGATTGTAAAGCCCAGGTCAACATCACCATTCCACACAGCAACCTGAATGACAGTCATGACCCTCCAGGAGAGCAGGCAGCTCTCTTTCTGCCTGTCCCAGTGCAAGATGCAGCCCAGACAGAACTCGTGATGGCACGGTATGGCATAGGCAATGTCCTTTTGCACACCACAACAGATGGGACATATCCATGCCTGTTCTGCTGCCATAGTCTTCACACTGTGGCCTGCTGGGGAGTAAAGAAGAGGAGCTGCTCTCCTCTACCAGTGCCTCAGTGATGAAAGCTGCATGCTGCCATAGAGAGGCCATGGTCATTCACTGTCGCACTGGATCCCTTAGCAGGAAACCCTCCCTGCCCCACAGCTAGGCTACTCCATGCCTTCAAAGATCAGGCTGCAGCCCTGTCCCTGGCAGTTTCCCCCATCCCATGTGTCCCCACCCAGCACACCTCTGCTGCTGCACATGCACCTTGTGGGGCACGGGTTGCCTGAGCCAGCTAGGCCAGGAAAATGCAGGTGATGACTGTAAGAATGTGTGCCAAGGGCTGCTGCCAGCAGCCCAGCACCAAAGCCAAATGCTAGCTCCAACTCCAAGCCTCACACATGTGCTTGGAAGAAGTGCAAGCACAAGACAGACAGGTCCAGGCACTGCTTGTGCCCAAAGATGAGCAAGGAGAGTGACACAGTGGTGGGGACGCCTAGTCTGATAACCAAAATTCAACATGGTAGGGAAAATCATGCTGGCTTTACCTGAATGCCATGAAATGTACTGCATCATCAAACACCATTTTTATGACATTTTGTTCTTGAATGATTGCTACTATTAGCAAGGCTAACCAGCACCCAAAGTTGCATTCTGTATAACTGCGGCTTCTCTGACTGCTGTCCTCTAACTGCCCCTTCACTGATGGCAATCAAGTTAAAGGCTGAGGAAATTAAGGCATTTTTAAATCCATCTCTTGGCACTTACGAACTCTGGTGACCCGATTCAGAATGGCTCATTATAATGAATAAATTAATGAATAATTCAGAATCACTCATGGAAGTTTCCCTCAGCAATTTTCCTTCACATCTCACGTAGTGAGCAGTGAAGACAGCTACAATGTTGGCTTTATCACAACTTAGAGCTGTTACAAGAAATTAAAAGATAAGAATAGCACCACGTGCAATTTCAAGTAGAAGTTATGTTGTACATGGTAATATCATGCCAATGTCCTCAAGAAAGCATTCATTTAGTGTGCTTAATGAGGGCAATTTGTCAACAATTTCACACACCATTTGCCCAGAATCCTCCAATGCGGCATTTCACTGCATGCTCCTCACCCCCCCAAATAAACTGCAAGTTGTATACAGTTTTGCCTGTCATTAATCATCTTTTCAGCACTGCAAGTTCAATGCTGCTTTCCCAGTAGGAGACCAAGGGAGCAACCTAGCCAACAGAGGGAAAAGTCATGGGAAAATAAAAATATAAATGTTCACTACAGCAACAAAAAAGATGAGCACAACCCCCCAACCCTAGCAAGACCAGTTCCTTCTGCCCACAGTAAATGCTTCCAACAGCACTTTCTGCAGCTCTGTTCTTTACATGATTTGAGAATACAAGTGGGGCTTCTTGCAGTTAAAAAGCAAATTCCCACCACCCCCACCCCAGTTTCTGGGATTATTACATTTTTGTTTTCAACTAGGTACAATTCTTTCTAAAGAAAAAGAAAAGAATTTATTGAAACTGTATCTGCAAAAGGCTTGACTTAATAACTAACTAACTTAAGAAGCCATTACTGTTGATTGTCAGCATTTTTCTGCTAACCAAAACGCCTGAGGGAAAAGCAGATGGAAAGTAATTAATAAGACCAAGAGTGAGGTTTGCTGGATGTAACTGATACTGTTGGTAAATCTGGGACTCATAAATGATTCTCCTCAATGAAGGGAGACAGATGTTTCTGCAATTTCAGCGACAAAGTAGGAGTGAGCAAGTAGAAATAAAAATAAACAGTGAGCCCGCAAATAAGAAGTGCAACAGATATCACACACTGCCTTCTTTTCTCTGACACTGCTGATAAGTTGGAAGAATTTAGGAAGTGAAGAAAGGGGATTCTTCGAAATAATCCTATTAAAATCATTCTATATGCCAATAATTTTAATGTTTTGCATCTTATGCGGACTTGTCCAGTAGGAACATGAGCTAAAGAAAGCATTAAGTTTGCTTCTGAATATCTGAGCTTTTAAGGAAGCATGGGATGAAGGGCCATTTGTGCAATAAAAGCAGAAATGGAGTGAAACAAAAAGGCAAATAGGTGGAGCTAGGCATTCACCCTTAGCACAGGATCCCTCCCCGTTCAGGGACAGGCATGCAGGGAAGCTGAGAGAAAGAGAATTATCAACAAGTAGATTAAATGTACATAAGAATATCTGTAAACGTAAAACAAACAGATATTCTTTTTAGAATCCATATATATCTGCTTAAATATATGAATATTTAAAATCTTAATTCATGCTGAATAAAGATTTTTTTAAAAATCACTTTTCTAACCATTCTAATACCTTTTTTTCTTGACAACTGCTTCTTGGAAACCTATAAAGAGCTGTCAATGATTGTCCCCCCCTCCACTGTGCGCCCCCAGAAAGAGCCTGCCTCCCCCCACCCCACGTACAAACCTCTTCCAATTACTCAAATAACCTCTATTGCAGAAAACAAACATTGAAGCTTTTCATATTTACTTCTAAATTGAACCTTTTTTACAGGCAGCAGTAGCACGTAGTGAGCTACCATCACCACCCTCAAATTTAATAAAGTAAATGCATAGAAGCTCCAGATGTGAGCTTTGAAATCACACCTCTGGACATAGTTTACTGTATGGTTAGAATCAGAAAGGTATTGTAAAAATGACACCAAGAAGATGTAATATTGCCAACCACAGAAAATTCAATTTGCTCTGTTAACAAGGCGAAAGGCTTTTTCCATTTCTTTCTCTCCCATGATAGAAAATTCAGTGTGGCTGAATGGCTGCAGAGTGCATTTCTGAGTCAGTCCACCCCTAGGGGAAAAAAAATCAACTGTGAACATTCAAGAACTACCTGGAAATCACTGGAAGGTATGAGTTGTACTCACCTTTTATCAGCAGAATGCGCTCAAAACCTTCTGCAAGGAGGACATGGGAGAGCCATGGGGAGCTCCACCAGCAGCTTCTCCTGCCACAGAGATGGGAGAGCATCGGTTTCATTAACATCTTGACTAATTTTGTTACTACACGGTGAAACATGGACACCATCTTAAGATACACCAGATGGAAGAAAGTGGATGAAAGGCCGAGATGATGCTTTTGCCTCTGTGCAGAACCATCAGTAGCCAGCAGAAAGCCTATAAATAAGTGCAAATAAGGGGCAGAGGGAAAACACCACCCTTGGCTCCACGTTACAAAGGTGTTATTTTGAAGTGACCGAGGTTCAGGAACAAAAACTTTCTAGAAAGAAAATCAGAAAGCCACGCTCAGGGGTCCCTCTCATGAAAAATCTCACTACAGCTCATATAAAGTTGTGGAAGTTTCTACCATGGGAGATTGTGGAAATACATAGCATAGGCAGATTCAGAAAGGATCACACAAAGTTGTGGATAGTAGGTCCATAAACAGGAAGAAAACAGAATGGAGTGCACCCTTTAACATCTGCGAGCCATCCTACAGTGGGGCAATACAAGGGGAATAGACCAGAGGAGGTGATCATGTTTGCATGGTCTCACTAAAGAGCAGCTATATTTATTCATGCTGCTGAAGAGAAAATCTACAAGATGAGATGGTCCTCTGGCCTGATTATGCAGAGCTTTTACAGTATTTACGTCCTTCTGTTCAGGCTGTTAATATCTGTCCTGCTTTTAAGTAGATTCCGACAGGAATGTATGTGACATTCAGCAGACACACCTCAAAACTACTGAAGTATGCCATCATGTTTTCTGTACTGAACACAGCTGCATTAGCAGTGATATTTTATGGGCAGCCCTACAGTTATTTCATTATTTCAGAAGCCTGAAGAAAAACAGCATAGTAGTTTCATGTCCTTTTATCCACACTCCTGTCTGCAAAGACAGTGGTATCAGGCACCAGTCTCCTGCTTAAATCTGGTGTCTCAGCTCTGTCCACCCCCATATTGTTGTTCCCTAATGCATTCTTGTGACAAACTTGGAACAACATCTGACCTTCGAATCCTCTATCCACTTCTCTGCTGCCTGCCAACAAATTTTGGCTAACACTTAAAGAAGATATCTCACCACTGACCTGGCACCCTGAGTTATCAGCCTACAGCGAGGCCCCTGCAGTTTTGTAAATCAGTTCTCTCCAAGCACCCCAGGACTCCTAACCTTGCACACTCATAGCCCATGTGTATTGGAGCAGTGCGATTCAGCTTTATTACTGCATCCTTATTAATTCAATGTATGTGTGCTCTTTTGCCTTAAAAAAAAAAAAAAAAAAAAAAAGCACATGTCTGAATTGAAACAATTAGAAAAGCACAAGGGACTACAAATGTTCAGACCTGTATGCCAAGTGCTCTCTGTAAGTTCAGACAGGTTGGTGGGGGCAAAGAGACTGATCTCACAAGCTGTCTCGGGACTGTCATGCCCTGCATATGGAGACCTGCTTCTTGAAGCTGTCTGCTCCAAGCCTTTTTGAAGATGTTAAAAATTTGTAACTTTGTGTCTTTAGATAAAATACAAAATTCTTCTAAAATTTAGAATTTCACATAAAACAACATTGCCCAGTAAACAAATCACAGTGGGACTGTTTGTTGAAATAGATGTATTGTTTTTAGGCAATTCCATTGCATTATACATACACTTGTCCATACACTTCTCAGGAGAGTTTTTCCAAATATCAGACTTGAACCTTCCTTGCTTCACCTTGCTACATTCATTGCAGACATGTAAGCGATCATACACCTGAGCCTTCCCCTCACTCTTCTCACTTCTGAGATGAAACAACTCCACTTCATTTAGTCCTTCCTTGTGAGAAACGTTAAGAGTCCTCCTCATCCTTCCCAGTGCTCTTAGTCTTTAAGTGTCCCAAAGCACAGCAGCTAGAACCATAGAATCATTTAAGATGGATACGACCCCTAAGATCATCATATCATCAATCTATCCCCTCCATGCCCACTAACCATCTCCCTCAGTGCCATATCCGCACAGTTCTTGAACACCTCCAGGAATGATGATTCCACCACCTCCCTGGACAGCCTGTGCCAGTGCCTCAGCACTCTTTCTGAGAATAAATTTTTCCTAATATCCAACATGCACTACCCCCCCCACACACACACCTTCAAGCCATTACCTCTTGTCCTGTCACTGGTTACCTGGCAGAAGATACCAAACTGTCTTGCTACCACGTCCTTTCAGATAGTTATAGAGAGCAATGAGGTTTCTCCTAAGCACCTAAGTGAACACCTTCCCACAAAGGACCTTTCTCACACAGGGTCTCTCTTGTCTCCAAGCCTGGGCTCTGAACTTATGCAGCAGCCTGACATTGTTGATTTACATTCAGCTCTTGACTTGTCTACAGGCTCTGCAACAGGCACAGGCAGCTGCACTCCCTTGCCTGCTTAAATTGCTGCAGTCCTGGTGGAAGTGATAAATTGGCTGTTGTAGATTTATAGTCAGTTAGCAGATGACTCAAAATTGCATGCATTTCACTTTTATTTTTTCTTTACTTTATCCACAAAGACTGAAACTTTACAGTGTTCGAAAGTGCAACAACTTTTTCTTTCCTTCTTACACTTCAGTGAAAGGAAGGTCAGAGAATGCAGATGCACTGTACAGGACAATGCACATCCTGTGCATGCTTGTGTCCAGAACACCAAGTTTGCCAGCCCTCATGAGTACAGAGCTCACACACAACTGCTTCTTTCTTACATGGAAATGGCTGGCAGCTTTTGACTGATTGCATACTTAAAGCTAAACCGTGATCACAGTTACCCGAGCAAATTGGCCAAATGAAGGAACTAGCAGTAAGGAGCCCTGGGAGCGCTGTGGGCAGACAAGCTGTGTCCCTCACATCAAATAGCTGGGGGTTGTTCATGGAGGGCTTGTGTACCCAAACCCAGTCCTGGCACAAAGCACTAGGAGAGTGAGGGTCCTTTGGCATGGAAAACAGAAACAAGCATGGTGTGTTAATGGGTCTTAACATGAAAAACTGTAACAAGTTAGTAATTAAAAGCTTTTTATTTTTCCTCAGAGTCAAGTTAGAGAAGCAAAACTCTTTGAGGATCTCAATTCTAGCTGCTCACCAATTTAATTCCTTACTGCTGAATACTGCAGTCAGAAACACTGACTACAAAAAGCTCCTCCAAAAAGCCAGTCAGAGTTGGTATTTATTCTCAGTACATCTGGCAGCACATGTCACCCCTGTTGGCTTGTTTCTGGCCATCTTTAGACTCACAGGTGAGCACACCCACACATGCCAAGGTACCCATGAGGTCTCCCCTGAAGCTGGGGCAGTGCAGGAGCTGCTCTGCAGGAAGGTCGAACCCCAACCATGGGGTTGGCCATGGGCTGGCAGCACAGAATGCGGGCAGTGCCGTGAGTGGCAGTAACTCAGTGAACCTGAGCACCAGGAGGTGCGTGCTGTGGTGTTGCAGGGCTGGGGACAGATAAAAAGCAAAGGGCACTTGGTCTCGTCATGGAGGAGATACAATTCCATGGCATTTCAGGAAGAATGAGCAATTTATTCTATCTTACAAACTCTCTTCTGCAGTGCTGTGCTTATGAATTACTATTGTTCTAGCTGCCAGTTCTCCATTTTCAGCCTTCTCTTACTGTGCGCTTTTTTTCAGAGGAGCAAATGGTGGAGTCTGTCTGAGCAGAAGAACAAAAGCAGAGCCAAGGATGCACTGCTGACTCACCAAGTGAACAGCGCTTTTTCTTTTTTTAAACAAACTTGTTAAATATACGTACGCCCAAATACGCACATCAATTTAAATGATTTGCAGAATGCCTCTATTAGTGCATCAATGGCCCAAGGAAATAACACGCTATTATCAAAAAAATGATTCTCATACAGGGAAGGAGGAGGACATTCACTCTTTTGCTTGAGAAAATTGTTCCTAATGTTTGTTTGTTTTCTAGGAAGCTGCTTTGCTGGAGATGTTGAATCTTTAGCTTGACTGGGAATTACCCCGAGTAATGCCTCTCCTCAGAGCTTAAGATTTAAAGCACTCTGGACAACTGGCCTCATGAAGGCTGTGCTGGCTCTCAGCATCCAGTTCAACACACAGACCTTCAGTCATGGAAAGCACATTTAGCAGACCAAGTCAAGCTGTGCAAGTAAGTGTTCTCTGGGTGTTAGGTGAAGAGGATCTCAGAGTGGAACTATCTCAGCCAAACTTTATTGTTCATCTATCTTACTGCTACAGAATTAAATGCAACCACATCTATCATCAGAAACCTTTTCCTCTATTAAAAACTAGACATCAGACATTGACTGATTGGGCTATACTGACTCAGTGATGGAAGTGTCAGCAATGTGTCTCAGAACGGGAGCCAAAAGCATGAGGAATAGTTCAACTTATGGGGTGCTGCTGCGAGAAATCTAAGAATTTTTGTAAATCAACCCCAGACTGCACTGTGCAGGGAGAGAGGAGAACTCGAACACCACCACGCAAAATAATGCGGTCCTACCGCATGCTCAGGCTTGTTCAGTTTACTGCAATACCCAATCTGCCAATATTAATTTCTTAATGAAAAACTTGGGATACTACATCATCATCAAAGTGACAAAACCCACATCCTGCTTAAATTTCACTCACTTGAATGACATTTCATGGAAAAAAAGAACCCAAACTACAACAGGAGCAGACAAGGAAAAAGCACTGTGTTTATATAAACTACAAGCATATCTTTCTTCAAAGTTAGACCAACATTTTCACTAGGATCTACTCATTAAAAACAAATTAAAAAAAAAAAAAAAAACCCAAACCAAAACAAATAGCCAACAAAACCAAAATCGCACAGAACCACTGAGATTTTCTGTAGAAAATAGAATCCACATTTCTACTGAATACCTCTGATAAAGAAACAGGTCCTTTAGTAGTAGGAATGAAACAGTTAAATTCTAGATATCCTACATACTCCCACCTTTCCCTGCAGCTGAAGCTGTCTGCACATAATTTGAGAGCTGAATTAAAGGAAAAGAGTACAGTATACATAACAC